ATTGGCTGTTACTTTCACCGAAGAGACTTTTGATTGGAGAGTGATGACGACGTCAACTCTCTCCCCACCGGAATACACACCGGACAACCACGTGATTTATTTTCCCTCCAAATCCACAGGGATAAAACCAAGCGATAAAAATGTAGTTCCAACTACTCACAAATCGCATAATGATAAATAACCATTAATTTATGTTTCGGGTCCTTTAACAATGGACCGAAAATATTATTTTCGCCTAGATTCATTCGGCGCTCGAGCTCTCCAATTCTGGCTCCAATAGCTGGCGCCGCGACACGGCCAACCTGCGTACTCCTCAACTGGCGGGGATATTCAAAACTCCAGATCCACCCCAGAGTCTGCAGAACCGTTGCTCCGAGACCCAATTTCAGCATCTAAATTCTTGCACCTCATCCCAGTCCTCGTTTAGGCTCATCCAGATCCCCCGATGTGCTCCGATGAACGGTGGAGTGGAATGATTCAATACAAACCAAAAAGATACTCAATAAATAGTCGAACAAAAATCTAGATTTTGACTCTCGCTTCGCTTTCGCAGTGACTTCTCGTCTGGATGTTTAAATGAAACCGCAGAACGGTCGAAAGACAAAAATAACACGTTACAATATATATATATATATATATATATATATATATATATTCCGAATATATATATATATTCTATGAAGACCTATGCAATATACGTTCCTATATAAAAAAACTTAGAAAATTCATGGCCAAGAATTTCATAGAAAAAGCAAATCTATTGACTTTTCTGTCAGACATCTTCTACAGAAATGGCGCAAAAAACAAATAGAATTTGGCTGGTGTGAAGACCTATGCAGTGTATGGGGACATTTGCATTCTACTGTGCGTACATTATGAGGACATATAAAATATACAGGGACATCTAGAGTCTACGATTCGATGACTATGGGGACTCGATACGGTTGGAACGTACTATGTACGTTCCTATATATATATAATGCGATTTGAGGGAGGAACAGTTAGGAAATCCATATCTGTAGTTCCCGGTAGCTTAGTCGGTAAGAGTGCCCGAAAAAAAAATTCTAAGAGAATTAGAATTTAGAGAGAAAAAATTTCCGCTTCACCCAGCCGGGAATCGAACCCGGGTCTCCCAGATACGCGCCGGGCACTCTTACCGACTAAGCTACCGGGAACCACAGAAATTCACTCTCAAATTCACCTCAAACACCGCCTAACCTCCTTTAGGCATTATTTTATTTATGCGATTTGAGGGAGGAACAGTTAGGAATTTCCGCTTCACCCAGCCGGGAATCGAACCCGGGTCTCCCAGATACGCNATATATATATATATATATATATATATATATATATATATATATATATATATATATACCTGTAATAATAGGAATAATAATGATGGTAATAGTAATAAAATGTTATAGTTATAAAACTGAAGAATCAGTTGTTTGAAATAATAATAATTCTTTTCAGTAAAATGTAATGATAGTTTTTTTTTTTTTTTTCAGGGAATTCTTCATCATGGTTCAACGTCGACTGGGAGAATTTACGACTGTCTCAGACCCCACAGAACACCAACCCGGCAAGCGACAACTTGACCATTATCAAGGAACAGATATTCATCAACCAGGAACCTGTCAACAAGTCATCCGGTCCATCATCGTGCCAAGACGCAGCATCACAAAGTAAATCATCTGCACAGACACTCATCGAGAGGAAGAGGTCAATGACCTCGCACAATCAGATTGGAGATCCTGGACAAAGTACCAGGTGGGAATAAGTCGATGGTGTCCCATCCCACCTGACGTCCCAGGTGGGATGGGACATCAACCTCATTTAAAGCCCATATACGTTGGAGATCATCGTCAATCAGAGGAGTACCAGATCAATCAATAATTAGAATCGTACCAGGTGAATCCGGTGGATACCATCAACGTTCTCATCAGAATGCAACTCGACTGGTAATCTTGCCGACGGCGAGGGTTTTCGCCTTCAATCATCATGGAAATTCAAGGTCAACACGGATCCTCATCAACCAGGACTCAGAGATAACACTAGTCTCTGAGCTATCATCAATTTTCATCGTCGGCATCGGAGAAACCTCATCGGGGAGCATGCGTGGTGTAGCGACTCTCGCTTTACAACCGAGGCACGAACCCGCTACTCAAATCAACATTAACGCCCACATCTTGAGCAAACTGACGGCGAACATACCGCCATTCACTTGTGAATCAACGATTCCTCATCAACTGCAGAACTTCAACTGGCAGATCCTCACATCTTAAAACCTGGGGCCATCGCCATCATCATCGGAGCTGACGTCTACGGGAGAGTCATCGGAGAGGTTATCATCAGGTTTAAGGAGACGAATCTGATAGCCCAGCAAACCATCTTCGGCTGGACTATTTCGGGGCCAGTCTGCGGCACTGGCTGTGCTCCGAATTCATCATTGAAAGTAACGAAACAGACGGCAAGCCAACAACTCTTGGAACTTCTGAAGAAATTTTAGACTCAGGAGGAACTACCGGATACATCATCATCATCAGTTTTGACGAAGGCTGAAGCGGAGTGTGAACAACACTTTATCGAGACTCATCGACAAAATTCGACGGGACGCAACATTGTACGTCTCCCGTTTAAATCATCGCCAGCCGCCTTGGGGGATACAGCATCATCGGCCAAGAGACGGTTGCAGAAGTTCATCAGGCGACTGTCATCGGAGCCGCACACTCATACACGCTATAAAAAATTCATCGAGGAGTATGAGTCCTTGGACCACATGCAATGAGCATCATCGACGTCGGAGCCGAAACGGGCATATTATTTGCCTTATCACGCAGTGCTTAAACCAGACAGCACGACCACAAAATTGAGAGTGGTGTTCGATCCCTCGCATAGAAGCTCAACGAGGGTCCTCCATACGGGACCTAAACTGCAAATGAACAGCTCCGGGGTTCTCATCCGGCTAGGTCGGTATCGGTTTGTTTTCGGTACGGACATCGTGAAGATGTTTTGCCAGATCCGGGTACAACAAGATGACTGGGACTATCAACGAAGTCTCTGGAAGGACGACAACGGCCAATCCATCGAGTATCAACTGACGACAGTCGCCTATGGTACCTGTGCTCCCTGTCTATCGCTACGCGTGCTGAAGCAGTTGGCCATTGACGAAGGTCATCGATTTCCACTGGTCTTACGGATATTTATCAAGGGACCATATGTCGACGACATATACGCAGGTGCAGAAACGGAGCATCAACTGGAGGAGACCATCAGGCAGCTAATCAATCTCTACATGGCGGGCGGCATGCTCCTGCAGAAATGGTGCAATAATGTGCCATACAGTTTGAAACGATTCGGACTCTCATCGGAATCAGCTCCAACCATCGGATTTGAGGAATCAACGGTGAAAGTGCTGGGGCTCTGCTGGCAGCCTCAGGCAGATACCTTTCACTACAAAGTGAGGAGCTTCAATCGGGACACCATTACCAAGCGCGTGATCCTGTCCGAGATTGCGCAAATTTACGACCCATTGGGACTCACCGCGCCAGTGATCGCCACGGCAAAAATACTCATCCAAGAGCTGTGGCTGCTCAAACTCAACTGGGACGATCAACTTCCAATGGCTTTCATAAAACGCTGGCAACTCTTCAGGCAGGAACTTCAGCAGCTGAGCAGCCTATTAATACCGAGATGACTCAATTTATCGCCCAATACGACGGAAGTTCAACCACACGGTTTCGCGGACGCATCTAATCTGGCGATGGGCGCATCGGTTTATCTTCGAGCATCATCAGCGATATCGGGAACGACTGTCACCCTGGTCTGTGCTAAAACCAAGGTTGCACCGCTCAAGAAGATGACCATATCACGGCTAGAGATAACAGCAGCTCTCCTGGCAACGGATCTTGTGGCCTACGTACAACGAACGCTGGAGTTGGAAAACATACAAGTCCATCTCTGGAGCGACTCATCAGTGGCCATCACCTGGATTAACGGCGATCCATCCCGTTGGAAAGACTTCGTGCAGAAGAGGGTACGTAAGATAAGAGACACTCTGTATTCTGCCACTTGGAGACATATCAATGGCAAGGAGAATCCGGTGGACTGCGCATCAAGGGGTCTATCACCGAAGCAACTGGCGGAGCATCATCTGTGGTGGACAGGACCCTCATGGCTTGTCCTTCCACTGGATCAATGGCTAGCCTCATCACTGGACTTATCATCATTAACGGAAGTATCATCAAAAGCGGCTGGAGAAGCGAGACCGCCAATCATCAGCTCGCATCTAATGCAAATCGCCGAGGCGGATGCACTGCTCATCAGATATTCATCGTTGACGAAACTATTGCGGAGCACAGCCTAGATCCATCAAGCCGCAAGACGCTTCCAATGGCAGACGCCACCGGAATCTCCTCAATTAGGACCATAAGAGCTCGAAGAGGCAAGACTGTACTGGGTGAGGTACACTTAATAGCTCTACTTGGAGGTGGAAATCAACACTCTACGGGTAGGCAACTCACTGACAGCAAATCATCGAATGGCGATGCTGATGCCATATCTGGAGGACGGCGTCATGCACCTGGGCGGATGTCTACGAAAATCAACGTTGGATCCGGAGGACAAAAATCCAATTATTCTCCCAGGTCACTCATCGCTATCAACGCTCATCATCGCAGACACTCATCAACGGAGTTTCCATGGGGGAACTCAACTAACATTGGCACACATCTGTGCACCTCATCGAGCATTGAGGGCCCAACAGCTGATGGAACAGCTGCCTGCGCGACGAGTGAAACCATCAAGAGGTTTCCTCCACTCAGGAGTGGACTTTGCTAGCCCAATCAACGTACTGAGATGGAAAGGATCAGGGGCAAACAAAACAATCTACAAGGCATAAATCTGTCTGTTTGTCTGCTTCGCTACATCAGCAACTCATCGGGAAATGGTAACGGATCTGATAGCGGAGGGCTTCATCGCGGCGTATAAATGCTTCACTTCAAGACGGGGTATTTGTGCGACTCTGACCAGTGACAGGGGACTCAACTTCATCGGGGCAGAGACAGAACTCAGGAATCTCTTCGACCAGGCATCCAGCAAATCGGCTGTCATCAGGGATCGGCTAGCATCAGACGGGATACAGTGGATATTCAACCCCTCTCACTCGCCACATACGGGAGGCAAGTGGGAGGCCGCTGTGAAGTCAACAAAACATCACCTCAGGAGGACCATCGGAACCTCGACCTTGACGTACGAAGAATTTACGACTCTTCTGACTCAGGTCGAGGCCATACTCAACTCTGGGCCACTCTGCCCACTCATCAACCACCCGCAAAACACATCAGCCCTGACACCGGGGCACTTCATCATCGGAAAACCGCTCACGGCGGTTCCTGAACCATCACTCCAGCAAATCACCACGGATAGACTCAACAGGTGGCAAATTATCACCCAGAGGATCCAAAACTTCTGGGAGCATTGAGCACTCATTGGGCACTCATTGTGCATTCATCGATATCAGCAAATCTACCGGTAGAGACAGCCAACGAACAAAATTAACATTGGTTCGTTGGTCCTCATCACGGACTAATGGGAACCGTCAGCTAAATGGCCCCTCGCTCGAGCCATCGAAATTCATCCAGGACAGGACAACCTGACAAAAGTTGTCACACGGAGGAAAGGGCATCTGAAAATTCAACGGGCAATTCACAGACTAGTTCCATTGCCCATCAAAGCAGACCTACTGTAGCATCAACAGTGAGGACCATCAACTATACTTCGTCACCAGGAGATGACGCAGGACGGGCGGGATGTTCAAAATCTGGCCTGCTTTTTGGGTCAACTTATTTCCCCGTTCCTTACGGAAATTCCCGACTATCGACGAGCACGCACGTAGTCGTGAGCGTGTTCCACGGTGATCAATACACCATCGACTCTCATCAGGACCGAATCACTGAAACTTATCCGGGCGCACATCGGCGCATTTATCGGGAAATTCATCGGCAAAGTTATCGAATCTCATCGTAAATTATCTGGTCTATTATCTAAATATTTCGTATTTATACAGTCTACTTCGGTAAATCAACTATTTATTAGAAATCCATCGAGTGTATATGTCAGTGCACTAAGTTTTTAAATAGAGTGACAATCAACGAAACTCATCTTAATTTATTCTCCGGCAATCCATCACACTTCACTTTCCCTCCTGATCTCCGTATCATCAAAATCCCACAAGATTTTCAACAAGTAATAATTAATAATGTAATATATAATTGCTAGTTGACGATAACAATAATCATAACAGAGTATTGTGAATGAATTCTTCTGACATTGTAATTTTATCGGTTCTAATCTTATTATTTGAGTAATGATTTGAATTAACTACCTCTAGGGCTTTTCTATAATAGGAACATTGTTCTGGCACAGAAGGGATTTTTCCCAAATAATCAATTTTTACTTTGAAATACTAAAATCACCATTCCCGGGGAATTAACCATTCTAAATTTCCTTACAATTCTATTTCTCGATGCGTAAATCGTTTCATTACGGATGTTCGGTGAAATATTTGTATTCCCTCGTCTCTTGCCAATCATGATCCAATCATGATCAAATTTTTCCCGTCTTTTGTTACTATTAATACAGCTGAAATCTCTTTCCAACGAAGGTTTTTATTACGGTTGAAATATTCCCAAATATTTAATTGCGGTCGATATTTTCCCCGAGTTTCAGAAATGAAAATTCTCACTAATCCCTCCACTCAAAACAGTTGACACGTTTGAGTCAGTTTATGACTACAAACACAAAGGTCTGGAAGAACTAGCTCTACGATTATTGCCCTTAATGGTCCCTAACGACTCAGTTTTCCGAGTCCTCATTGAATCTCAAGGATTAGTGAATTCCCGTACCCTCACTGCAGGCATCCACACGGACTCAATTCACTTCCAACGCTTCCCTCGGGCCCACGCCACCGAACCAATAGGAACGCGGCATTTCCATCGTCGGAAAACTTGGAACTCTGAAATACCCAGTTTGCAAAAATCTCTCTTCATGGTCCGTGTCGTACTACAGAAACCCTAGCTTCTCGCATTTTCAAATCAGTTTTAAAGTTTTAGTTTCTATATCACAACAAATTGTTTTTCTCAAGGATTAAACAAATTACACCGCGTTCCGGATAAATTCAACATACATCTTTAGACATAAACTGTTTTTCTCTCGGTCTTTGCGACAATATCGAGCATTCGACGAACTCCTTCTCGATACCTCTGAATATATTCTCGTTTGATATTGTTTTACATTATAAGTTTTCTTTTCACCTCCATAAACATTATTCTTTCATCAGTGTGTAAATAAATGTAGTGACTGAATTATAAACATTTTTTATATACAGGGTGTTCCATTTGAAACAATGCACCCAAATATCTTCTAAGGGGGCAAGTGACAGGAAATTTTCAGGGACATAAGTTGTAGAGTTCCGAGGAGGAAATTTGATGCATGCATTTTTTAGAACTTTCACGATCATACTTGCAAGCTCCAAGCACAAGGAGCTTTTTCTTAAATGGCAATCGCATTTTTTACCCTAATGAAACTTGTTCTCCTTGATAAGTAGTTTTCAAATTTCTCATCATTCATGTGAACTCCTTCGATTTTACTCGGAGAATGCGACGAAAATGAGTTCTGTTATCAAATTGAAGATTCACACACCCTTGACGCGTCTTGGCGTAGATAATTGTTCTGCTACTCCATTTACCAACCGTAGTTATGGAATGTAAACAATAACAAAGAATTCCCCATTACCTCGAGGATTCTGCTATTTGAAACAGTTTCAATTCAACCAGAATCGAGCTAGTATCCCCTGTAATTTCATTGAACACATCACGATGTATTCAGCGAGTGAAATTGTCGATATTTTACCCGTATTAGGAGATTGCCGCGGAGTCTATCGAGCCGCTGCCCAGACATATCGAGAACGGTACCCTAATCGCCGACGTCATCCCACAGATGCAGTAATTCGGAACATTGAAAGGAATTGTAGGAGAGGACGAACTTTTCGACGACAACAACCACAACAACGAGGTATTAATCCTGATGATCCACGAGCTGTTGCCATTCTCGCTATGATTCACATGAATCAACACATCAGTTTGAGAGAAATTAAACGAGATTTAGGTGTACCACGGAGCACAGTACAAAGAATTCTGCGATCTGGCCGCTACCATCCGTATCACATAACGTTGACTCAAGTATTGTCCGCGCAAGACAGTCGGAATCGTGTTGACTTTTGTAACTGGGCCTTGCAAAGACTGAATGAAGATCCGAATTTTTTCCAGTACGTTCTTTTCAGTGACGAGGCAACGTTCCAGAGTAGTGGTTCGTTGAATCGACACAATTGTCATTATTGGTCAAGAGGAAATCCTCACTGGACTCAACACATTGATCATCAGCATCGTTGGAAAGTGAACGTGTGGTGCGGTATCGTCGATGAGCAAGTGATAGGTTCATACTTTTTTTATGGTAATGTCACCGGACAAAGCTACCTGGAATTGGAGTTGACAGCGCTGATGGAGAACGTGAACATGCAGACAAGACAGAGAATGTGGTTTCAGCAGGATGGCGCTCCAGCTCATTTCGCTCGAACTGTGAGGGATCATCTGAATGGTTCCCTCCCGAATCGTTTGATGGGTCGGGGTGTTTACATTTCATGGCCTCCACGATCACCGGATCTTACGCCGCTTGACTACTACCTGTGGGGCTTCGTCAAAGACGCTGTTTACGTGAATCGGCCGACCACTCCGGTTGACTTACAGAGACGTATCAGGGAGGCTATTGCAAGCATTACGCCCCAAGTTCTTCGAAGGGTTGTTGGAAATTTCCGCCGCCGAATAGCGTTGTGCTTGCAAGTTAACGGTGGAAACATTGAACAACTCATGAACTCATGAGCGCATGAACTTCCACACATGTTTGCGCTATTTTTCCTCCTTTTCTTTTAGCGCAAGGGATGCGAGCAGACTTTACCTCCATGTGGTGCATCCTGGGTCACGCTAAAAAAGTCTGAATCTTTAGTTTGATAACAGAACTCATTTTCGTCGCATTCTCCGAGTAAAATTAAAGGAGTTCACATGAATGATGAGGTATTTGAAAACAACTCATCAAGGAAAACAAGTTTCATTGGGGTAAAAAATGCGATTGCCATTTTAAAAAAAGCTCCTTATACTTGCAGCTTGCAAGTATGATCCTGAAAGCTCAAAAAAATGCATGCATCAAATGTCCTCTTCGGAACCCTACAACTTATGTCTCTGAAAATTTCCTGTCACTTGCGCCCCTTAGAAGATATTTGGGTGCATTGTTTAAAATGGGACACCCTGTATAGTTAACGAACTCTAAATTATTTACCAACACACTAAAAACTTTCCCACAATCACCACCTCAGTATCCTGACACTATGCGAGTGAACAAACATCCTTTATAATTAGCGGGATGTCCTGTCTGATTACAATTAACATATTTAAGGAGTGATCTACCAGAGTTTTCCTTAAGTGCGGATCCACCAGGTTTGTGTGCTTCACTGCATTTAACACATCTGAAATCTAATGAACAATTTACACTTGAGTGACCCAGTCTTTGACATTTTTTACATTGGAATAAATTGTTTTTTCTTAATGATTCCCAATTAATTTTTTGGTACAATAGAACTTTATTTTTAATTAGATTACATATGATAGAGTGAAATGCGTAGTTGCCTGATTTCTTATTGAGTATTATTTTCGATACTTTAAGAATTTTAATATTAGGAATATTATTTATTTTTATTTAATATACGTGCCCGGGGGAGTTTACATTTTGCACGATACTCCCTTTACACGGAGGGAGGGGGGCTAACATTATGAATATTAAGATCGTTTAATTTGTAAAAACAAAGAGTTATGTCAAAGAAATGTGACAGAAACAATTACTTTACTGGAGAAGCTGGGATTGGTCATTAATTATAGAAAAAGTTTACTTGAACCTAGTCAAGAATGTAAATATCTTGGTTTTATTCTTAATTCAGAGAAATACACAGTTGAATTACCCGATAAAAATAAGAAACAAGTTTTAGAGCTACTTCAGCGATTTAGTGTAGGGCAAGTCGTGTCAATCCGTTCATTCGCTCATTTACTTGGTGTGCTAACAGCATATAGTCCAGCTGTTGCATATGGCAGAGTTCATTGTAAAAGTCTCGAAAGACTGGAATACGTTCAATTATTAAATGATAATGATTATGAGGCACAAATGACAGTAACTCAGAATGTAGACGAAGATTTAAATTGGTGGAAAGAAAATGTGGTGATTGGGGTTCACCCGATGAGAACGATTAAATTTCACATGGAAATATTCTCAGATGCCTCACTCTCCGGGTGGGGTGCCTTTTCAGGGGGAATAAAAACAGGAGGTTTCTGGACGCTAACAGATAGAAAATACCACATCAATTAACTGGAATTGTTAGCA